CCCTCTGAACGGTCACCTTTATCCGTCATATTTGAAAAGAAACATTGTTATTTTCTGTATTCATTTAAGACAAAAGTTATTTATTTACTTGGCGCTATTTTTAGATCATCACTGTGTGTGTGTGTGTGTGTGTGTGTGTGTGTGTGTGTGTGTGTGTGTGTGTGTGTGTGTGTGTGTGTGTGTGTGTACTAATCTGTCACCCTCGCTGCGTTTGCATGCGTTTTGCTCGTGTGTGTGTGTGTGTGTGTGTGTGGCTTCGTTTGACCCCTGCTGGTAGTGCAGAGGCCGGGGCCCCCCCCCCTCTCGGCCGCCCGCCCGCATGAGGCCGTCCCCCGACCACAGACAGAAACACGTCGAGACGACGGAGGAAGAAGCGCCGCCAGCGAACGCACCGTCAGAGCAGGTCAGACGTCTACATCCTGCAGGAGAAAAGTCCTCAGTTTACGATGCGATAATACTTTAAAGATCAAGTCTGACATTTGACTTGCATCACAGCAGCTCCATGTGTAACATCAGAGATGGCAAAAGTACACACATCCTGTACTCAAGTAGAAGTACAGATACTCGTGTTTAAAAATACTCTGGTAAAAGTAGAAGTACTGACTAAACTTCTTTACTCAAGTAAAAGTAAAGAACTTTGAAATGTACTTCAGTAAAAAGTACCCATAACTAGCAGCTGCTTTAAAGAGTACCTGACCTCCCTTTATATTCATAGAACAATAATGTCATTGTTAGCTAATGAATGTTTCCATGCTGAACAACGGCAACATGACAACGTTTCCATTGGTCCCTCTTCTTTAGAGAAGACCAGGAAATGATGGATACACGGATCGTGTTCAAATCAATAGACACGCAATGACTGATGAATAATGATCACGCATCAAACACACATTCAGACTAAAGGAACCAGCTGTTTGGAAAATGAGAGAAGTAGAAAGTACAGGTATTTGTGTTCAACATGTAAGAAGTAGAAAGTACAGGTATTTGAGTTCAACATGTAAGAAGTAGAAAGTACAGGTATTTGAGTTCAACATGTAAGAAGTAGAAAGTACAGGTATTTGAGTTCAACATGTGAGAAGTAGAAAGTTCAGGTATTTGAGTTCAACATGTGAGAAGTAGAAAGTACAGGTATTTGAGTTCAACATGTAGAAGTAGAAAGTACAGGTATTTGAGTTCAACATGTGAGAAGTAGAAAGTACAGGTATTTGAGTTCAACATGTAAGAAGTAGAAAGTACAGGTATTTGAGTTCAACATGTAAGAAGTAGAAAGTACAGGTATTTGAGTTCAACATGTGAGAAGTAGAAAGTACAGGTATTTGAGTTCAACATGTAAGAAGTAGAAAGTACAGGTATTTGAGTTCAACATGTAAGAAGTAGAAAGTACAGGTATTTGTGTTCAACATGTGAGAAGTAGAAAGTACAGGTATTTGAGTTCAACATGTAAGAAGTAGAAAGTACAGGTACTTGAGTTCAACATGTGAGAAGTAGAAAGTACAGGTATTTGAGTTCAACATGTAAGAAGTAGAAAGTACAGGTATTTGGGTTCAACATGTAAGAAGTAGAAAGTACAGGTATTTGAGTTCAACATGTAAGAAGTAGAAAGTACAGGTATTTGAGTTCAACATGTAAGAAGTAGAAAGTACAGGTACTTGAGTTCAACATGTGAGAAGTAGAAAGTACAGGTATTTGAATTCAACATGTAAGAAGTAGAAAGTACAGGTATTTGAGTTCAACATGTAAGAAGTAGAAAGTACAGGTATTTGAGTTCAACATGTAAGAAGTAGAAAGTACAGGTATTTGTGTTCAACATGTAAGAAGTAGAAAGTACAGGTATTTGAGTTCAACATGTAAGAAGTAGAAAGTACAGGTATTTGAATTCAACATGTAAGAAGTAGAAAGTACAGGTATTTGTGTTCAACATGTAAGAATTAGAAAGTACAGGTATTTGAGTTCAACATGTAAGAAGTAGAAAGTACAGGTATTTGAGTTCAACATGTAAGAAGTAGAAAGTACAGGTATTTGAATTCAACATGTAAGAAGTAGAAAGTACAGGTATTTGAGTTCAACATGTAAGAAGTAGAAAGTACAGGTATTTGAGTTCAACATGTAAGAAGTAGAAAGTACAGGTATTTGAGTTCAACATGTAAGAAGTAGAAAGTACAGGTATTTGAGTTCAACATGTGAGAAGTAGAAAGTACAGGTATTTGTGTTCAACATGTAAGAAGTCAAAGTAAAAAGTCGACAGAAAAATAAGTATTGGAGTAAAGTACTGATACCAGAAACATGTACTTAAGTACAGGAAGGAAGTATTTGTACTCCACTACTTCCCACCTCTTACAGCAGACTGTTTACCCCGATAGTACCCCCCCCTAACCTGTGTGTGTGTGGAGCAGTGTGAGAACCTGCTGGATTGGGATGTGGAGGTGTTACAGCCCGACACATTAACAGCACCCAAGGTGGGTGAAAGTCAGCCTAACACTGGGTTCACATGCAGTTTTAGATTTAGTTTTGATTATACTAATATAAAACCATGTTTAAATAGTGGAATCGACAACAACGACACTACAGTCTTTTACCTCTCACACATGGTGCACAGACCCAACTTTAAACTGCATGTAAACGCAGTGTCTGGAGTGTGTGTGTGTGTGTGTGTGTGTGTGTGTGTGTGTGTGTGGTGTGTGTGTGTGTGTGTGTGTGTGTGTGTGTGTGTGTGTGTGTGTGTGTGTGTGTGTGTCAGATTTAGTTTGAACTGCATGATCACTTTGCATGCAAATGTTTGTCTTGCATGATTCTCATTATCTGATCAGATTAATTGATAGCGGTGCTAAAATGAGGACAGTTTTGAAAATGGACTCTTTTATAACTGTGTTCCCACATTGATGTTTTAAGCGGTAGTAGAGTAAATATGGAAGGGTCTCACACGTTTATCTCACTGGTTGTTTTTGTCTCGTACTGCCGCTCCGAAGGCGCCGTCACCGGACTTATGGGTAAGCAGAGCGGAGAAAACCAGTAGTATGAGTCACTAGAAACGCTTACGTTTTCTGCAAATTAAAACTGAAATTCAGTTTTAAGTGACTCTAAATTCTGCCCACAAATGTGCTCTATTTATTATTCTATCATCATGAAAAGCAAAGGTCTGCAGATGAAGAAATAACGCTTCAACCTTTCTCCTCAAAACCTCCTTCCTGTCCCTACACCACCCGGGTCTTTTCCTTTATCAAACCCTTTTAAAACCCAACGCTCCGACTCCCATCCTCTTCCACAATACCCCACGACCCCCTTACCTTTTATAGCATGACGAGCCTGCTGTAGAGCCCCAGCCAGCTGTAGAGCCCCATCCAGCTGTAGAGCCCCAGCACGATGACCACAGGCACCCAGAAGAAACTCACGGAGGATGGGAAGACGTAGGAAGCACCGCCCAGAGCTTTACCCCTGCAGAACCTGTTCAGGGGAGCTGGGGAGACGCTGGAGTCCCTCAGACGCACACCGAGCCCAACTGGGGAGACGCTGGAGTCCCCGGTGTGCAGGAGTGCTGGGGAGACGCTGGAATCCCTCAGACGCACACCGAACCCAACTGGGGAGACGCTGGACTCCCCGCTGTGCAGGAGAGCTGGGGAGACGCTGGAGTCCTTCAGACGCACACCGAACCCAACTGGGGAGACGCTGGACTCCCTGCTGTGCAGGAGAGCTGGGGAGACGCTGGAGTCCTTCAGACGCACACCGAACCCAACTGGGGAGACGCTGGAGTCCCTCAGACGCACACCGAACCCAACTGGGGAGACGCTGGAGTCCCCGCTGTGCAGGAGTGCTGGGGAGACGCTGGAGTCCTTCAGACGCACACCGAACCCAACTGGGGAGACGCTGGAGTCCCTCAGACGCACACCGAACCCAACTGGGGAGACGCTGGAGTCCCCGGTGTGCAGGAGAGCTGGGGAGACGCTGGAGTCCTTCAGACGCACACCGAACCCAACTGGGGAGACGCTGGAGTCCCTCAGACGCACACCGAACCCAACTGGGGAGACGCTGGAGTCCCCGCTGTGCAGGAGTGCTGGGGAGACGCTGGAGTCCTTCAGACGCACACCGAACCCAACTGGGGAGACGCTGGAGTCCGTCAGACGCACACCGAACCCAACTGGGGAGACGCTGGAGTCCCCGGTGTGCAGGAGAGCTGGGGAGACGCTGGAGTCCAAGCCCCTCAGACGTACACCGAGCCAAACTGGGACAACGATGGTGCCAAAGCGGTGCAGGGGGGCTGGGGAGAAGAAGGAAAGGTAGGGTCAGGGGTCTTTAAAACACCACAGGTTAAAGCCTGGAAATCAAGGATCCCTCAAACACTAGAAGTCACAAAAACCCTTTCTTTACGGTTCTATTTTTCCTTTTTTCTGATGAATGCTTCAGGGTTTTATTACACATATTGTAAATGACATTAAGGGGTAACACGGACTTGATTTGTGGCTCTACTGCAACATGTTTAGTTCCTTAATCCTCTTTAATAATGCACCTTTCTGTTATGTTCTGCTACAGAGCGCGGTGACCAATGGCTCGGACGGAGACCTCCCGCCAGGATTCATCTACAAGGTTATATTACTAAATGCTCCATTGACTTGGATTATAAATGAATGCTGTGCACTTCTTAATGAGGTTGTGGGTGTTTCTGCTGCAGGTGAAAGCGGTGCATGAATACGTTGCCACTGACGGCGACGAGCTGGAGCTGAAGGTGGGAGACTCTGTGCTGGTTCTGGCCTTTGAAAACCCGGACGAACAGGTCAATAACAAACACTTTCTTCACTTCCACTTTATCTATTCCTACTTTTGCAACTACCGAGCATGATGATGGCAACATTTAAACATGTATACTTGTTAGTTCATCATTTATCTTTGAAAGGAAGCTACTCTTAAGCATGTGTTGTTAAATATTTTGAGCTTTTCGCGTGTCATTTAAAGCCTAATTTTCATTCCCAACTTTGTCACATACAGAATTGTCACAGTTTTAAATGTTGTGCATGACATTATGACCTTAAACACAAGTACTTGGTCATTCATCTTGTAGCTTTGGTTGAGGAAAAGACTGTTTTTTGGGTCAAAACGTACTAAATAGCCACGTTTTGTTTTTCGGTCTTCCTGCAGGACGACGGCTGGCTCCTGGGTGTTCAGGAGACTCACTGGTTGCAGAAGAAAGATATTTCAATCAAAGGTGTTTTCCCTGAAAACTTTACTCAGAAGGTTTGAGGTTCATGCAGCAGAAGTACTTTTCCCCAAACTCTTCAGAATTATAGATAGAACTGAGTTGAAACGTCAGTAAATGTGCATTCACACAACAAAGTGTATCAGTGCATGATTCCAAATATGCGCTGGACATCTAGACGGCTACGGTCTCTCATGAAAACATAGATAACTTATTAACCCAACTCCCTTTTGGTCAATGAAGCGCAATCCTCTAAATTAAATTAATAATATTGTTTTAATTCCCTTTCCTGAATTATTTATATGCTAAACTCAAACAAAACTCATGTCATGAATGTATTGAATGAATGTCAAAATGTTTTATGTATCGTCATCGGGTTTTTGGAAAAAAATATATTATGAGAACTTTTCACGGTTCCTTGCATGAAGTATTTGATTGTATTGTCATTTATTTTGTAACACTGTGACGACGGGTGGCTTTGCTGGAAGAAATGTGGCTCAGATTGAAAAAAAAGCAGATGACCCAACTCAGAGCCCTGGGGAACGCCACAGGTTTAAACAACATTATCAAAATCTATTACAGTTTCTTGTAGGACTTTCAAAAGGGAACATTAGTCTTTCATTTATTTTACCGGCCATTTTGAAGACATGACCTAAAGTGTGGCTTACATTTTCTAACAACTTTTATTTAGATTTTTGAATCATCTTTACGTTGATGGGTAAAACGGATAACCCCACACAAACTGTATTTTTACATTGTGTGGGATTAACACATAAGGAATCAGTCCAAGTGGTTAATGTCGCACCATTTGTTGGATCAAGTCAGTGTCATTAAAGATGAATAAAACAACGTGGGGTCTCAGTGTCTTATGTGTGCCTTTTGGTAAATGGACTGTATTTAAATATCTCTTTACATACGAGTCATTCTTCCATTCACACCTCATTCATGCAGAGCAGCACCACTTGCTGTAGGGAAGCTAACACTCACACACACACTCACACACACACACACACACACACACTCACACACCATTGGCCATTGGGCTGGGATCGAACCAGCCACAGTCACATTTTACCACTTCTAAGTATTTATATCTTGTTTTGCATTTATTGTAGGTGTTCTTTTTTTAAATATATTTGCTCCTATTTCTCTATTTAATTCACACCAAATACCTGAAGCTGTGAAGACCTACTTGGCAATAAACCAAATTCCTAGTAGATCTCCATGGAGACCCCCCTCCCCCTCCACCTAACAGAGATTTGGTGTTAATGAATATCAGCGTCCTACACACACACACACACACACACACACACACACACACACACACACACACACACACACACACACACACACACACACACACACACACACACACACACACACACACCCACACACACACACACACACACACACACACTAAAACTATTCTCTGTTTACCTTGTTACCCGTGACCTAAATGAGGCTGAGATGTGTGCAGGTCGGGGTTATACATTATACAGGTGCCGGACAAGGGGTTATTGATGTGTGGCCGAGCGCGTTTGCATACTGATTTCCACGGCTGAATGATTGACTAAGGTTACTCCCAGTTTAAGGACAACAAAGCTGGTTACCATAGAGTTTGGAGGGAGTATAACTACCGCAGGAGTCTCAACTCCAACAAGCAGATTCCTCGAGCAGATCCTCAGTCAGCAGCAGGAATTTCTAATCATGGTGAGCTTCTACAGTTTTACACATTTTAACGACATGCTTGTTGCTTTCTTGCTTGAATATAAAGTAGAAATCTATCATTTAAAAGCTGTGTCGCAGATCATTTAATCCTAATTCTAATTTCTCCTCTCTTGTGCAGCGTGAATGCCTTTCAATCCATGTTGGTCAGGCCGGCGTGCAAATGGGTAATGCATGCTGGGAGCTCTACTGTCTGGAGCACGGCATCCAGCCGGACGGTCAGATGCCGAGCGACAAGACCATCGGGGGGGGAGACGACTCCTTCAACACCTTCTTCAGCGAGACTGGAGCTGGAAAACACGTTCCCAGAGCCGTGTTCGTGGACCTGGAGCCCACGGTCATCGGTACGGTCGTTATTTTCAAATGCAAAGGTGCACTGTAGGTTAAACAGAAGTTGAGAACTCCTGATTATATCCTTTCTGTTTTTTGTTTACAGATGAAGTCCGCACAGGAACCTACCGGCAGCTCTTCCACCCGGAGCAGCTGATCACTGGAAAGGAAGATGCAGCCAACAACTACGCCCGCGGGCACTACACCATCGGGAAGGAGATCATCGACCTGGTTCTGGACAGGACTCGTAAACTGGTTAGTTTTTAAGCCAAAGCTTTGTGACTCGAGTTTAGATCTAATAATAAACTAATTCTATTGTTTTGTTTTCCTGCAGGCCGACCAGTGCACAGGGCTCCAGGGTTTCCTCATCTTCCACTCCTTCGGAGGGGGAACCGGCTCTGGCTTCACCTCCCTGCTGATGGAGCGTCTCTCCGTCGACTACGGGAAGAAGTCCAAGCTTGAGTTTGCCATCTATCCGGCTCCTCAAGTGTCCACGGCTGTGGTGGAGCCCTACAACTCCATCCTGACCACCCACACCACCCTGGAGCACTCTGACTGCGCCTTCATGGTGGACAACGAGGCCATCTACGACATCTGCCGCAGGAACCTGGACATCGAGCGGCCGACCTACACCAACCTCAACAGGCTGATCGGACAGATCGTCTCCTCCATCACCGCCTCCCTGCGCTTCGACGGCGCCTTGAACGTGGATCTGACGGAGTTCCAGACCAACCTGGTGCCCTACCCTCGAATCCACTTCCCTCTGGCCACCTACGCCCCGGTTATCTCCGCAGAGAAGGCCTACCACGAGCAGCTGTCAGTCTCAGAAATCACCAACGCCTGCTTCGAGCCCGCCAACCAGATGGTGAAATGTGACCCTCGCCACGGGAAATACATGGCCTGCTGTCTCCTGTACCGCGGAGACGTTGTTCCCAAAGAGGTGAACTCTGCCATCGCCACCATCAAAACCAAGCGCACCATCCAGTTTGTGGACTGGTGTCCCACTGGCTTCAAGGTGGGCATCAACTACCAGCCCCCCACCGTGGTTCCTGGAGGAGACCTGGCCAAGGTGCAGAGGGCGGTGTGCATGCTGAGCAACACCACCGCCATCGCAGAGGCCTGGGCGCGCCTGGACCACAAGTTCGACCTGATGTACGCCAAGAGGGCCTTCGTGCACTGGTACGTGGGAGAGGGGATGGAGGAGGGGGAGTTCTCCGAGGCCAGAGAGGACATGGCCGCCCTGGAGAAGGACTACGAGGAGGTGGGCACCGACAGCGTGGGGGACGAAGGAGAAGAAGGGGAGGAATACTAAGGTGTTAAACATCTTCAGTCAAGCCACAATTGTACTTCAAATGTCACAAAACTGTAACAGAATATAAAATAAAGTTAATATGGTAAGCATCTGTGTGTTTCATGTGTGCTAAAAGGTCATGTCTTTAACAATGAGAAGCCTAGCAGGAATGTTGCATCCCCCCCTTCCCCTTTTATATGTGCTGACGTTTAGCTTCTCACACCAGCTATTTGTTCGGCCTCTCTGCTAAGATCAGCGGCCAACAGAGAGGAACAAAGTAGACCTGAGAAAAGAGTAACTAGGGAGACTAAGTGTTCTGGCAAACATGACTTGCCAGAAGGAAGTGGTTTGTTGTTGCATCTCCAGGGTTACCTGCAGGCGCAGAGGTGAAACCAATACCAGCCATTTATCTGAACACAATGGGTCTGATCACTGACTGGGACTTACTCAAGTGTTTCTCTCTCAATAAGGAAAATACCATCTCTGGGGTCTGTGAACAAAACAATGCATATTACATCATTTTAGGGTTAGCAGGTTTATAAGGCAATGAACCCATGCACCTGTTGAAGAAGTCAAACTGCACATCTCTGTCAGGACACACTTTGTTAACATCTAACTTTGGGTGTTTCATCGCATGCATCCAGCTCCTTTCTATTTCTTTGGTGCAGTAAAACCCATTGGAGCTCTCAAAAGTCAAATCCTGCTCTAATGCAGAGGAGGTCTGTTGCCTTTGCATTGCAGATGGATCTTAACCAAAGTGCGGATGCAACGTTCAGGTCACTGAGGAGGGATTTGTTTTCCTCTGCCAGATAAACACTGAGGCTCCAAATGAGACATTTTAACAGAATATGAAATGTAAACACTGCTCCATTACAGAATGTCTTCATGCATGCAATATATTTTAGTTTGGTGAATGCAAGGTCCTATCCAACAGCAGGCAAACTGTTTTAAGATGTCCTTTATTACGTGTGAACCCCCTGCTCACTGCACAGCAGCAGCGAGCAGGCCTTTCATTTAACATGTGTAATTGGAGGAGGGGGGGGGGGGGGGGGGGGGGGGGGGGGTGCTGTTATGGCTCATATTTCACAGCCTCTCTGCCATTGTCGCTGGCTACTCGTTTGTGTAAGAACAGCTGTTGTTCCTCCGATCCGAGCACGGCGTTGATCTTTTTTTCGTGCTCCCCCTCCTCACCTTTCATCATGTTTGCGCTCACGCAGCGTCTCCAGTTACCACAACAGAAAGAGGCTGTTGCCAGGTGATGCCGTGCTATAAAGCCGCTGCGCAGCTCTAACGTACACAACATCCCCAGCCACTCATCTCAGGTGAACGAGGGACTGCTAAAAAGACAACATGGTGAGGACTTCTTTGTTTTAACGTTAGGCAACACACCCGAAAAAACGCAACATGAGTTATCCGGAATACACCTCAGAAAGCATAGTGCTGTGTGTTCGGCCACAATACCTAAAAGAGGCAGTGTGTGCAAAGTCATTGGGTTGCACAGTAGGACTCATTAATGCCGTAGAGGTATTGGGGAATGTTGTCAATGTTTCATCCACTTACAGGAAGTTAGACACACTTTGTAGCTTTTAAAATGTTCCTGGTATCCGATTGGGACATACTGTTTGTTTAGTTTGGTATCTCTCGAGCGTGGCTTGGTAACTAGGTGTCAGGGGAAATACTACTAAGCACTGGGATACATTCACTTAATGACTTTGTTTGCTGAAGCTACCTTGGCTGATTTAATTGTCTTCAGTTAAATAATGCGTCTCATCCTCTTGAAGCTGACTGTATCTTTAACATAAGCGTGCTACGTTAATTCTCTTGCACTATTTTATCTGTTTATTCGTCTTATTTGTTCTATGTCCTATATATATATATATAGATGTTGCATTGTGGGAGGAGCCTGTGACTTCAGTTTTCATTACCATATCTACACTGTAGCTAATGTGCACTACAATAAAGCCTTGAAACTTGAATCTTAATGAGTTTTTATGGTCTGCAGGAAGTTATTGACATCTGATCCACTTTCTCTCGCAGCGTGAATGCATCTCCATCCACATTGGCCAAGCTGGAGCTCAGATAGGCAATGCATGCTGGGAGCTCTACTGTCTGGAGCACGGCATCCAGCCGGACGGTCAGATGCCGAGCGACAAGACCATCGGGGGGGGGAGACGACTCCTTCAACACCTTCTTCAGCGAGACTGGAGCTGGAAAACACGTTCCCAGAGCCGTGTTCGTGGACCTGGAGCCCACGGTCATCGGTACCATCATCAGATCCTTTTCTTGAGACTTTTAAAATACAAAAGTATGCCACCCCATCCATTTATATGTTGACTTTCTTTCCATTTACAGATGAAGTCCGCACAGGAACCTACCGGCAGCTCTTCCACCCGGAGCAGCTGATCACTGGAAAGGAAGATGCAGCCAACAACTACGCCCGCGGGCACTACACCATCGGGAAGGAGATCATCGACCTGGTTCTGGACAGGACTCGTAAACTGGTGAGTTTTTAAGCAACTACTTCCTATTTGAGTTTATTCAAGTCAGTCACAGAGTCATGATGAATTGTTTTCCTGCAGGCCGACCAGTGCACAGGGCTCCAGGGTTTCCTCATCTTCCACTCCTTCGGAGGGGGAACCGGCTCTGGCTTCACCTCCCTGCTGATGGAGCGTCTCTCCGTCGACTACGGGAAGAAGTCCAAGCTTGAGTTTGCCATCTATCCGGCTCCTCAAGTGTCCACGGCTGTGGTGGAGCCCTACAACTCCATCCTGACCACCCACACCACCCTGGAGCACTCTGACTGCGCCTTCATGGTGGACAACGAGGCCATCTACGACATCTGCCGCAGGAACCTGGACATCGAGCGGCCGACCTACACCAACCTCAACAGGCTGATCGGACAGATCGTCTCCTCCATCACCGCCTCCCTGCGCTTCGACGGCGCCTTGAACGTGGATCTGACGGAGTTCCAGACCAACCTGGTGCCCTACCCTCGAATCCACTTCCCTCTGGCCACCTACGCCCCGGTTATCTCCGCAGAGAAGGCCTACCACGAGCAGCTGTCAGTCGCAGAAATCACCAACGCCTGCTTCGAGCCCGCCAACCAGATGGTGAAATGTGACCCTCGCCACGGGAAATACATGGCCTGCTGTCTCCTGTACCGCGGAGACGTTGTTCCCAAAGATGTGAACTCTGCCATCGCCACCATCAAAACCAAGCGCACCATCCAGTTTGTGGACTGGTGTCCCACTGGCTTCAAGGTGGGCATCAACTACCAGCCCCCCACCGTGGTTCCTGGAGGAGACCTGGCCAAGGTGCAGAGGGCGGTGTGCATGCTGAGCAACACCACCGCCATCGCAGAGGCCTGGGCGCGCCTGGACCACAAGTTCGACCTGATGTACGCCAAGAGGGCCTTCGTGCACTGGTACGTGGGAGAGGGGATGGAGGAGGGGGAGTTCTCCGAGGCCAGAGAGGACATGGCCGCCCTGGAGAAGGACTACGAGGAGGTGGGCACCGACAGCGTGGGGGAGGAGGACGAAGGAGAGGAGTACTGAGTCACTGAAACACCTACAGCTCGCTGAAGTAATATAGACTCCATCATTCAATTCATTCATTCTTTCCAGTGAGCTACAACATGTTCGTGCAAAATAAACAAACATATTGAAGTACTTATTTTGTGCTGTGTTTACTACAAAAAGGTGGCAGTTTTATAATTGATGAGCTCTAAATAGACGTCATTTTGACAAAAAACATCAAATCTAATTGATGGATTACTTAAGTGATATCAGCAGTTGGTTTAATGTCTGACCATCCTTCAAAACTCAATAGATTTTCATTTAAAAACACACATACACAGTATCATGTTGAAACCAGTGACAGTTTAGTATTTGAATCCCTACAGCTGTAACATGTGAAGTGTTCCCCCGCTCTGTCCGGCCCAGAAGAAGATTTAAGCTCCATTGGGAATTTGGGGATCATTGATTAAAATCGTATTTAATTTCTGTACTCAGGGGCTAGTGGGACAAAGTCTGGACCAGGCTAAATCCTGGAGTCCTCAGATGTGTGGGAGGGAATATGATATGTATCTAGGTCTAAAACACCTCATCCTGCAGGTGCTTCTTTAGGAATAAAATGTGATGATTGCAGAATCAGTCCTTCTTTGTTGATATCAATTCTCTCTCTGGATCTTCAGCCATGCAGCAAACAAAACCAAACCATGCTCCCAGTTCCTCAGAGTCCTGCCTACTCTCTGGAAAGCGACTTTGAGCACCTGTAGAAGCGCTAACAAAATTAATCTATTATTATTATTATTAACAAGTCACACAATACTGTCTGGCTAATGGTAATAGGCTAATTATCATAGTAAAAGTGTAAAAGTGTCCCAAAGCATTTCAGAAAGAACTGTTACTGCCAGAACCAGAGAAGAGTTATGTGTATTTTTCTAACTAATTAACTGATAAGATACAAGTAGAGTTTAAAATACTGCTCTCAGAAATAATGTATTAATTTATAGCCCAACGTTGGTATGCACTGTGAACAAACTAAACATGATGATGGGACTCCATGACCCCATGACCTCATGACCTCGTGACCCCATGACCCCGCCCCCTCTGTTGGTCAGAGAGCTTCTTAGGGACAGTCAGCTGGCGGCCCGGATGACACATGCGCTACAGCTCAGCAACCGCACGCGCCGACGAGATGTACACAGAAGAGAGAGTGGAGGGAATACACAGCGATAACTGGAGTTTCTGTGACTTCAAAGGTCAGTCAAAGGCTGAACTCACACATGTGATCTGACCGCTTTGTCCTATTAGCTAGCAGCTATGCTAATGGCTAATATAGTTGTCCTTCCGGTTGACAGGCTCTGATCTACACACTTCAAACATGATTCTCGATTAGTTTTCTCTTTCTTTTACCTGCTTTCAGAGGATACATCTACAGCTTAATATATAACACACTTTATTATATTTTAAGCTGTTATTAAATAAATATAATGAAGTAAAAGTACAAAGTAGCAAAACATTGAAATACAGTACAGTACAATATAGTACTTAATATATATATAAATAATTGCTTAAATATGTCCATGTTGCCATTGTGAGAAGGCGGACATATTCCAGTGATGGCATATGATCAATGATTTAAAGTCGTGTGGATGTATTGATTGACCAACAACATGCCATGTTTGGTAGACATAATCAATAAAAGAAGGAACCCATGATGTGCCAGCTGTGCCTAGGCCTGTCACGATCATTCATTTTGTTGGACGATACATTTTCTTGGAAATTATTGCGATAAACGATAATATTGTCGGCACTGTTTTGACCATTTTAGACCTCTGACATAATAATATCATAATGATTCATGTACATCCTTTCAAAAAGAACTTTTTAATTAACATTCAACATTGTAAATGGAATAATATTAAAAGATAATAATTATATATAATAAATAAAACAAATTCATTAAATTATAAAAAGATTATTAAATCACACACAACCAAAACAATACATGAAATAGACTCAGGCTGGAAAACAGAGCTCTCTCTATCTATCTATCTATCTATATAAATAAATAAATATGAGCGCACATTGTCTCACAAGCACTCCTTAAAACAACAGTCAAGTGTACTCTGCCCAGGTGCCTCAACAGGCCATATCCAAATCTGTATTTCGAGCAAGGAATATGGAATGCCGTTTAAGCCTAAATTAAATAAATTACATTGCATTGCATTTAGCTGACGCTTTTATCCAAAGCGACTTACAATAAGTGCGTTCGACCAACAAAATACAAACTTGAAGAAAACAGAATCATAAAAGAACATCAGGCTTCATAGAGCAAAAACATTTCAAGTGCTACTCAACTGGCTTTAGATAAGCCAGTCCTTTATTAGTATATAAGTGCTTTGTTAATAATTCTATCGCTCGAAGTGGAGTCGAAAGAGATGAGTTTTCAGTCTGGAAGGTGTGCAAGCTATCTGCCGTCCTGATGTCAATGGGGAGCTCATTCCACCATCTTGGAGCCAGGACAGCAAACCCACGTGTTTTTGCCGATGGGAACTTGGGTCCCCCTCGCAGCGAGGGTGCAGCGAGTCGTTTGGCTGATGCAGAGTGGAGTGCACGTGCTGGGGTGTACGGTTTAACCATGTCCTGGATGTAGGAAGGGCCAGATCCATTCGCAGCACGGTAAGCAAGTACCAGTGTCTTGAAGTGGATTCTAGCAGTTACCGGAAGCCAGTGAAGGCAGCGGAGGAGCGGAGTGGTGTGGGAACATTTAGGAAGGTTGAAGACCAGACGAGCCGCTGCATTCTGGATGAGCTGCAGAGGTCGGATGGCACATGCAGGTAGACCAGCCAGGAGGGAGTTGCAGTAGTCTAGGCGTGAGATGACGAGAGCCTGGACCAGAACCTGAGTCGCTTTCTGAGTCAGCTGGGGACGCATCCTCCTGATGTTGTAAAGCGTGTATCTGCAGCAACGGGTTGTAGCAGCGATGTTTGCAGTGAAGGACAGGTTGTTATCTAGGGTCACACCCAGATTCCTTGCAGTCTGAGTCGGGGAAACAACTGAGGTGCCGATGTTGATTGTTAGGTCAAGAGTGGGACAATCTTTTCCCGGGAGGAAGAGCAGCTCAGTCTTGTCAAGGTTGAGCTTGAGGTGGTGAGCAGACATCCACTGAGAGATGTCAGCTAGACAAGCAGAGATGCGTGCAACGACCTGGGTCTCTGAGCGGGGAAAGGACAGAATTAATTGGGTGTCGTCAGCGTAGCAGTGGTAAGAAAAACCATGCGGGCTAATGACTGATCCGAGCGAGTTTGTGTACAAGGAGAAGAGGAGGGGACCAAGAACAGAGCCCTGAGGGACCCCTGCAGTTAATTGACAAGGGTCGGACTCGGACCCTCTCCAAGTTACCCTGTAGGTGCGGTCTTTCAGGTATGAGGTGAGGAGGGAAAGTGCAGAGCCTGAAACTCCATGTTTTTGGAGAGTGCGAAGGAGGATCTGATGATTCACCGTGTCGAATGCAGCAGACAGGTCCAACAGGATGATGACAGAGGAGAGGGAGGCTGCTTAGTGTGCAGTTCCTCAGTGACAGCAAGGAGGGCAGTTTCTGTGAAGTGACCTGCCTTGAAACCAGACTGGTGCGGATCCAGAAGGTTGTTCTGATGGAGATAACAGGAGAGTTGTTTAAAGACAGCGCGTTCAAGTGTTTTAGACAGGAACGGGAGGAGAGAGACAGGCCTGTAGTTTATAACATCAGACGGGTTGAGAGTGGGTTTCTTTAGGAGAGGGTTTACTCTTGCCTCCTTGAGACTGTTTGGAAAGTGACCAGAAGTTAGAGAAGTGTTGATGAAATGGGTGAGAAACGGTAGAATATCAGGAGCGATAGTCTGAAGGAGGTTTGAAGGGATAGGGTCCAGAGGACAGGTGGTAGGGCGGGCAGAGGTAATGAGGGTAAGAACCTCACTTGGAGAGAGAGGGGGAAAGGAGGTTAGTGTGTTGGTGGAAGGAGGGTCTGGTGACCCAGCGGTGAGTAAAGGTGAGTCAGAAAAAGAAGAGCGAATATCATCAACCTTTTTTTCAAAGTGGGTAACAAAGTCGCTTGACAGAAGTGAGGAGGGGGGAGGAGCTTTTGGAGGGTCCAAGAGGGTGGAGAAGATGGAAAATAGTTTTTTGGGATTGGAATAGGAAGATTGGATCTTATCTTGAAAGAAAGTGCTACATACATAATTAAATCAATACATATATAAATATGCCTATGAAATAAATAAATAAGGTAATACATATATATAAATGTACATTTAAATACACATTTATTTATTTCATGGGACTTTTATTTCATAATGCCACATTACATTTCCATTTCTAATATTCAAATGAACAGGGCGTGGTTAGCTCACAGATCCAGACCAAAGCAACTGCACCACAACACTGACTCAATAGCTCTTGTTTCACACTCCAGTACTCTTTGCCAACCGCCAATAAACCGGTTCCGGTTCAAGAACCGTTCTTGTGCTTTTCTGGTGCTTAACTGGTTCTTCTCTGGTTCTGCCCCTTTTCCACCAAACCGGTTCCAGAGCCAGTTTCGGGCTACAGCTTGATTTAGCTCTGGTTCTTCCTGTTTCAGCCGCAGCTCTAAGTACCGAAAACCGGTTCTTACTGTAGCTGACCCCACTTGGCTGCCCGGCAAGAACCAAAAACCACGCTCACGTCGGAGGGGCCGAGATTAACCTGAGCCATAATAACAGTTCATGGCGAGTACGGCAAATGAAAGTTGTAACAAACAGTAGCGCTGAGCAAAGTGACTAGAACGCAACCACACACTTATTAAAAAAAACACACTTTATAAAGTCAGGCAACACTAACCAGGCTGCGTGTGAATCTGTTTATCTGCACCTTACTTTGACCAACCGTTCGCTGTCATTGATCATTGGAGAGCAGGCAGACGTTTTGTTTCGTATTATAGCAGCTATCGGATGGAATCAATACATGGGCTGCACAGGTTGTCATGACAATCACAAGTAGAATCATAATGTAAAATGTGCCTGTAGAAAACGGCTTATGGGTTAGGGTTAGGGTTAACCCTAACCCGCTTATGTCACAATAGGAAAGCAACAAGTAGTCCAGATAGTCAGATTAGCCTTTTAATGGCTTTATATATAAATCTGAAGACTCTCTTTATTTTGTGTTGCAGTGTTTGGAGGCGGATACAAGCGGCCGAGATGGGTTTTCTCCGCAGGGTGGCTGGTGTCTCCCTTAGGGATAAGGTGAGAAGTTCGGTCATCAGGGAGGGACTCGGAGTTGAGCCGCTCCTCCTTCGCGTCGAAAGGAGCCAGTTGAGGTGGTTCGGGCACCTAGTTAGGATGCCACCTGGGCGCCTCCCTAGGGAGGTGTTCCAGGCACGTCCAGCTGGGAAGAGACCGAGGGGTAGACCTAGGACCAGGTGGAGGGACTATATCTCTTCGCTGGCCTGGGAGCGCCTTGGGACCCCCCAGTCAGAGCTGGTTGATGAGGGGAAAGGAACGTTTGGGGCTCTCTGCTGGAACGAGACCCCCGAGACCCGACCACGGATAAGCGGGAGAAGATGGATGGATGGAGGCTTGCAGGTGGACTGTTTACACAGCCGTGGGAACTAAGGAAGTCTTAAGGTGTGTGGCTTTTTTATTTTATTCCTGAGTCATAATATCGATTATACTATTCTCCACTTTCTAGTGTTACCGGAAATGATTATGATCATATTATTTTCTGTTTCTTTTTGAAAGAAGAGCTACAGCTGTCCTATGTTTGCTTTTTGGTGGGAGGACCATGGCTGCTTGAGTTCCGTTCTTCGGTTCTTAAACACACTTAAGGTTGTTGAACACACACTGATATTTTCGACAAACTATGCTATGACTTTTATTTCTGATATTTTCATTCTATAGTCAGTACCTACTATGCTGACTTCATGGTGTCTTTTCTTCTTTTCTCTCAGGACTTCGAGGACATTGATCTGACATCAATGAAGACGGTGGCTTCTGGAGTGTCTGAAGAACTTACGGTACTATACTATGACTGTTTTCTCATATTTCCAACTACACTATGACTATTTTCCAACATAGTCATAGTGTACTATGCCAGGGGTTCCCAAACGTTGCCATGCCAAGGACCCCATATAGCATGATCCTCTGGCGGGGACCTCCCTGTTGCAATTTTTTAAATGATGAGTACATTATGATGGAGAATAGGACAAATTAATCATACAGCTTAATACATTTTCTTAATATATATTTGTACTAATAATTAATAATCAGTTATTCTTCAAAAAAAGTTATTTATCTTTTGTTTGTCATTCATTACATTGATTGTGTGTTCTGTTATAAACATTCTTAACACAATATTAAACAGTAATATCAACAGTAAACACATTTTTAAAGTGATTTCTGTCTTTATAATATATAATTTTGAACAGTAATATGAACAATTAACATATATTTTTAGCATTTTTGAAAGCTATTTATATATAATATTCAACAGTAATATTAACAATAGACATATTTATATTCATATATATAAACATCAATATTTGCTACATCCGTGCTCTCGTCCAGCTGCAGAGCGAAACATTCTGACGTCATGGTGTCTTTTTCTTCTTTTCCTGGAACACCGAGTGCAAACATCTGACATCAACGAAGACGGTGGCTTCTGGAGTTTCTGAGGAGTTTACGGTACTATGACCATTTCTGATATTTTCGATACTCGACATGTCGTTTATTTAATTTTTTTTCGACATGTCGTTTTTTTACATTTTCTTCGACATATTTTCCACATACTGACTTCATAGTGTCTTTTTCTTCTTTTCTCCCCACAGGACTGCGAGGACATTCATCTGACATCAATGAAGACGGTGGCTTCTGGAGTTTCTGAAGGACTTACGGTACTATACTATGACTTTTCTGATAATTCCGACATACTTCGTTGTTTTTAATTTCTCTTCTGACATTACTATATTATACTATGTAATTTTTTGTTAAAATGTTTCACCCTAATTTTTTCTAAACCTTCTATACTGTGTCGTTTTTTTCTGGCATTTTCAATCTACTATTCAGACTTTTAGCATATTTTATCCATACTATACCATGGGCGTCGCAGCCATTATATGACAAGTCCCCCCCACTTTTTGAAATGATTAGTTTAGACCCCCCCACTTTTACCATGTGGAAAGTCCGTGAATCGGTGTATCCACTCGCCGCTCTCTGTAGAGAGCTGTGTCAGTGCTTCACTATCAAATACATTCCACTTGCTTATTGAGAGAATGCCTCAATCAATGAAACTCTGTACCGTGTTTTCACTGCTACTTTGTACCAAGGCAGATTCTCCCATAGCGTGCGCATGTTCAAGGAGTGTTGTCATAGTTGGACAGCTCAGATCTGTTGTATGAAGCGATGCCGGTAGCGGAGGTAAGGCACACACACCAAGTGTTCAGGACATTGTTAATACAGCGAAAATCAAAGCTGACGATCTCTTGGTTTGATATGTTTTCTCTCCCAGACAACATGGACATAAGAACATTTCAAAGAACAGGAAAGTAAGTCTTCAGCTGGTAGCAGTTAATCAGTTAACAGTGATGGCGTCGGCGTCTCACTTCTGGAGAGGAGTTTCGTCTTTATGTCATGATAGAGATACAAATACTGAATAGTTTAGATCAGAAAAGGCATCGAAATGCCAGGTTGCTAGTATTTATCATGTAAACAGGGAACATGAATAACCCGGTCTCTCTGTGCTCATGTAAACACCATGATGTCCATGTAGAGACGCAGTCAGTGTGTTTTACTGGAGCCTCAGTTCAATAAGAGATTATTTTCTGAGTTCTTTAACTTCGGTACTCTCTCTCAAAATGGTAATGTGCATTATGTTTTAATTATACTTCTTATCATTCAGAAGCTGTTTGTGTGTGTTTATGTTTTACTGAGTGCTTATAGGCCATTTCCATCCCAGTATTCAGTTAACTGTTTATTTTCTGTGCACATTACATAGACTAGCTAATATCCTACCTACTGCTTGGGGCTTTGAGTCTTCAACATGTCCAATGTCACCGACTGGGACTTACTTTAGAGTCAGTTGTATTTACATTCAGTATGACTTGTTATGATTCAATGTGAAAGAGTATACTGCTCAATACATAATGATCACTTCACCACCTCTCTTGACATCTAGGCGCTTGAGAGTGAGTCAGAGGCAGAACACAGGGACAGTGGAGAGAGGTCCGTTGCTGAGGTGAGTGATGAATGGGAAATGACAGTTTAGAGTCAATTGTGATGTGGACTCTCATCCCAGAGTGTTAAGGAAGTCAGTGGGGATATTGAACAGGAAGCATTTCAGTGAAGGGGCATCATGTGACCAATATAGACAGAAGAGCAACATTTAAGTCAATACCATTCCTAGGTGAACTTAACATCTGTATGGAGTTAGATCAGTCTCGATGTTAATAAATGCTCACAGAAGGATTCACAAATGTATTTTGCAATGTATATATAAATGACTCTCCACAACAATATCTCTCAATGCACTTGTTGTATATAAATGTACAACAAATGGGCATTTAAACTGCTTTTTATTAATTCAAAGACGGCTCTGAATTAATAATCAAATATATTTCCTTTCTTTACTACTGGATGAAATTACAAAATGTACCCATCATTTTCCTCATGCTAGTATAGCCACATAAAAGTATCAAACCACCTGTTAAAATGCACCAGAATACAGGAAATCTATTTTGTCTTTCGTGGTGGGGGACCCCCCCCCCCCCCCCCCGTTAAAAATGTCCCCACCACATTCAGGATGCTTCCTACGCCCATGTACTATATTGACTTCATGGTGTCTTTTTCTTCTCTTCTCCCCACAGGACTGCGAGGACATTCATCTGACATCAGTGAAGACGGTGGCTTCTTGAGTTTCTGAAGGACTTACGGTACTATACGATGACTTTTCTGATATTTTCGACATACTGTACGATGTTTTCTTTTAGCATTTCTCCGACATTGGTTAGGGTTATGACTTTTTTGTCTATTTCGTGCCTATGTCGATTCAAATGTTTTGAAATGTTTCGAAATAATATATTATAACTTTTCTGTCATCGTTATCATCATACTATACTACGCCTTGTTTCTACGCACTATTCCGTGCCTTATTTCCACGTTAAATACGATGTTTTCTCCGACATTGGTTAGGGTTAGGACTTTTTTGTCATTTTTTTCAACATGCTATATTATAACTTTTCTGTCATCGTTATCGACATACTATACTACGCCTTGTTTCTACGCACTAAACCGTGCCTTATTTCCACATCAAATACGATGTTTTCATGGGTTAGGGTTAGCTATACTGACTTCATGGTGTCTTTTTCTTCTTTTCTCCCCACAGGACTGCGAGGACATTCATCTGACATCAGTGAAGACGGTGGCTTCTTGAGTTTCTGAAGGAATTACGGTACTATACGATGACTTTTCTGATATTTTCGACATACTGTACGATGTTTTCTTTTAGCATTTCTCCGACATTGGTTAGGGTTATGACTTTTTTGTCTATTTCGTGCCTATGTCGATTCAAATGTTTTGAAATGTTTCGAAATACTATATTATAACTTTTCTGTCATCGTTATCATCATACTATACTACGCCTTGTTTCTACGCACTATTCCGTGCCTTATTTCCACGTTAAATACGATGTTTTCTCCGACATTGGTTAGGGTTAGGACTTTTTTGTCATTTTTTTAAACATGCTATATTATAACTTTTCGGTCATTTTTAACGAAATAAAATACCACGCCTGGTATCTACACACTATGCCGTGCCTTATTATGGCATCAAATATTTGTTTAGATTATTTAGTTGCGTTTTTAAAAAAAAATCGACATACTATACTATGTCGTTTCAAAATGTTCAATTTTTTTAAAATGCTATATTATGACTTTTCTGTTATCGTTATCGACATACTATACTACGCCTTGTTTCTACGCACTATTCTGTGCCTTATTTCCACATCAAATACGATGTTTTCATGGGTTAGGGTTAGCTATACTGACTTCATGGTGTCTTTTCTTCTTTTCTTCCCACAGAGAGTGAAGAGAGGACGCCCCCCCCCCCCACGCCATCAATTAAGACCCCGGCTGCCTATGCTTCTGAAAAACTTGTGGACGTTTTCAGCCTTGGGGAAGTATAGCAGACTTAGCAGCCTTGGGGACGTATAGCAGACTCAACAGACTATCGATGTGGCTGCAGTGAGAGCCTACAGCCACTTAGCAGACTTAGCCGACTTGGGGCGGTGGCTGGGGTGCCGAGCGGCCCCCCCCCAGCCACGTCAGCCCCCCCGACTTAGCAGACTTAGCAGGCCTACAGACTTAGCAGACTATCGGCAGTGACTGCAGGCCCCTGCACAGGAGTGCAGTGAGAGCCGGCAGCCACCTATCGGCCGCTTATTAGACTTAGCAGACTTGGGGACGTTTAGCAGACTTGGGGACGTTTAGCAGACTTGGGGACGTTTAGCAGATTGGGGACAAGGCTGCACTGCTATGTATGAATAAATGTGAATAAAGCAAAAGTTTCTTAAAATACATTTGTCTCCTTTGTTCATTTCCAGTTCCTAAGATAGTATCCTATTCACTACTCTCTTACTTCCTAACACTCCTTTCTTCTATTCCCTTAAATAGCATCCTATTAACCAATTAATGTATTCATTACCCCTTTATCCATCTACTCTCTGCAACGTATAAGTCTCGAACCTGCAACCTCTGGTCTACCAACCACCCTTCTATCTCCTTGAGCTATGAGACCTGATGACCTTCCTCTGCTTTTACTTGTTTTTGACTTCTTCCTTTTGAAGAAGACATCTTAAACCTCCACCCGAGGTTTGAACTCACGGTCTCTGGTCTCCAAGACGGGTTCTTATCACAGTGAGCCATTCGGTGTGACACAGTTAGATGTTCCCTGGCATATGTGAGATTGTCACCTCAGGTTTGGACCTTCAAATACACAGCCCAGGCACCTCCTAGTGAAGGTTACATCGCTTATTGTCGGTTTAACCTTGAAAGTGTGTGAGACAAAATAGCTTAGAGTCAAAGACTGTGACTCCATGACCTAACTATGAAACAGGGTTCAAAATACATTTGATTTAGCTATTGAATAGGCCCACCACAAACCAAGTGCTTTCTGACCTCTAAAATCACAATAATATTCCAGGCATTTTACTCATCTGACAAATCCAGTCCAATAAAACAGCTTGTTTGAAGATTTGGAAGTTGTGTGAGTGTATGGCCAGAGGGCAGGACCTATAAACACATTGACTACCCAATGTGAGGACCTTCTGACTATGTCAATATAGTTTTAAAAAAACAAAACACTTACTGACTTTTTTAGGATATTAACAGATGTTGTAAAATAAGAACCGGGGGCCTTACAGTAACGTTGCACTAGATGGCAGCAAAGTGTTCTTGATCTGAGAGAAGAACAAAACAAGATATCTCAATAAAATATACTTTGAAATCATAAATATTGGGAACATAAATATGATCAAGTCAAATGTGAAATACGGCTCGAGATACACTTTGTTATATTCCATGGAATGCTCTGAACATCCCGATAGCAATGAATATCTGAAGTGCTTTGACACAAAATCCATAAAACATGTCATCTGTGGAAGCCGTGGAACTTTAAAAAGCACGACCAACTTTAGTCTAGTTATCTCAGTGGGTCTCAAACGGTTTGGTCACGATTCATGTAAATACATTTTTAAACTATAACTAAGCTCCAGTTGTTGACAAAGTCATTTCCTGTGGCTTTATTGTTATTGTTATAAAGTGAAATAAATAACTCTTGAAAATAAAGGATTAGAGAAAAGGACTACATTTATAAAATAATAAATAAGGGCTACTGGGCTCTGCTCTCTCCTCACTCTGCAACGTGATAATTAAGTACATCAAAAAGCGTGTGTGTTTAAAGTGAAGCAGCATTTGTTCAGTCGGGTTTTAAAGAGCAGAAAGACACAGAAGCCAGGCGAGCGATTGCAGCACTTCAACACTCAAATATTTATTCAAGGTCTCACAAATACAAAATAAGCTTTTCTGTTTTTTCAGAGAATAGCATTTCTTTTTAATTTTTTTTATTTCTTTTTTGACTTGCATGAGGTAAACAACAATATATCCAGTGACGCAGCACGATCCACACACACACACGGGGACGCAGTGTGTTTTCTGCAGGTGTGTGAGGAAGGGAGGGGAGCTACAGAGAGAGCAGGTAAACAATCACAAATCCTCCTTTTACACACCTTTCCACTTTAAACCAATCTCTACTTCCTCTCTGAGACACGACGACCCGACAGGAAACACTCCACCTGGATTCCTGATGTTTAAATATCGCATTCACCCGGTGCAGAGGTTGCATTCAGGGTGGCTGTTACATTCAGGACTTTTATGTATGTATCCTGCAAAGACAAAGCTGGGAAAGACATCTCTCTGGATATCTTGGTTTTATTTATTTCAGTTTCTGGCAGCTTTATCCTTTGTTCCTTTAACACGGTCCTCTTTTGCTGAAAGAATAAGACGTGGGTTTTTAAACCTCTTTTTGAAATATCTCAATTATTTTGCTTTCATATTAGCATTGAACGCAACACTCCTGTCCCTGAACACATCACCTCTGTGCCATAGAAATCAGACACATCCTTTCTGACTTTAAAGCCGTCCCAAAGTAAGATGTTTTTTTTTTGACACCAGGAGGGCGGACGGAAAAGCACAGCGTCGTTCTTCATCGTGAGAATCATCATGGAGGAGGAGGAAGAGGAGGAAGAGGAGGGTGTCACTGAGGCAGAGCTTTGAGGATGGCGTTGACCTCCTCAGCGACCGCCGTCAGCGCAAACTCAAACTGATCCTGCACACAGAAAAAAGAGAAATGATTCTCCCTTAAAACGACCCTTTGTTTTGTTTATTTCCTGTTTCCTTGTTGACGTGACTCTGACCTTCGTGCGGACCATCCCCGACCTCTGGTCCCGCACGTGCTCCAGAGTCGCAGCGATGTCGATCTCTTTCACACCTGCAGTAACACACACACACACACACACACACACACACACACCACACACACACACACACACAACACACACACACACACACACACACACACACACACACACACACACACACACACACACACACACACACACACACACACACACACACACACACACACACACACACACACACACACACACACACACACACACACACACACACACACAGCATCAGTAACACGCACACTGAGCATCCTCCAAAGCAAGCTACAGATCGATATTGATCGTTGAAATGAAAGTGTTTTGGATCTAAATCAGTAGAAGTGCATGATATCAATAAAGCTCACCTTTAGCCATGCGATTGAGAACCATGTCGATCAGGATGTACGTCCCAGTCCGGCCTATCCCGTCACTTTTCAAACAAAATATAATAAAAACTTAATAATCAAAAAGTCGTTAACGATGTTATTGCTGCTACCCAGTGGACTCGTGTGGTACTACGATGCCATATCAACGCAGTCCATTTATCTCCATCACTAAATGAAACGTCTCACTTAGTTTCTATTGATCCATGTTGTTGATGGATAATTCAGGATGTACCTGCAGTGCACGATGATGGGGCAGGACCGTCCTCTGTAGCACTTATTCACCTTCCTGAAGAGAGGACAAACAGCAATTTAAACATATTTATTCACCTATTTAAGCATTAACTATTCCATATAAACATGGATGCTACATTATGCAATCTTAAAATATATCTGACATCATTGCAGGATCCAAAAAGTGCACAGAACCACTTTACTTTACTTCTATGGCAGTTTCATAATCTACCTAGCTTCTATATATCAAACTGTTAATTATGTATATTTCAATTAAACCCCTAAGTAGTAAGCCCCAAGGACGGACAACCTCTATATTGTAGGTTTAGGAGATAATACATTGATATGAGGACTTTTTTCAGCCTCAGTGTTTGACTACTAAAGTCTCTTCTGTCTTAAAATAAAAGTACACACATCTCCACGCCCCCATACATTACTGACAACTGACTTCGTTAAGTCCTCTGGTTTTGATAAATGATAAATACAAAGTGTTTTTCGGCGATGGACCTCCTGCTGCAGCCACATCAGTCCATGATCATTTTTGTGACTATGCAACTGGAGACACAAACTAGCTGCAAACCACAAGAATGACACAGACAGATATGTTCAAGTTTAACCCGCCGCTGACCTCCATCGCACAGGGAGGGGGAGGGGGGGGGGGGGGGGGGGAGTGGAGTAAGGGAGGGTGGGAGCAAACACTTTGGTTTCTGCGTCGTGTTTTTAACCCTCTTGTTAACCTTTCTTTAATAAATACCCAAACCTTCCGGACTACATTCCATTGTAGTTCTGAACAACGTTACTTCTGTATAGGTTGGTTTCCTAACGTAGAAATAAAGTGGAACCGTATTTATTTTCATGGTAAATTCCTAATGTTTCATAATGCATGACTTGGCTTTGTTTTAAGATGATTTCCCCACTTTTTAATCCTTTCCCCCATTAACACCAGTTTAGAATCTCACTTTGAGCCACTATAGACTCCTATCTTGTGTGCAATAGGAGTCCTTTACGTTTTATTTCATTACAGTAATTTAAGTAAAAGTATTTCAATATTAGTTTTGCTGCAAAATAATGTAGTTTTTGTCGTAGTAATGTTTCTGTATCTAAAATGTAAAACCCTCCGATAGCTTTTCAGGTTATTTTATTTGCAGTTAAGGGTCTTCATTTACTGATATTAAAACCGCAATATACCGTATTTAATTGCGTCTTAATGTACATTATTACTTTCATATTCTGTTCTTGTACATATCATATTCTATTTACATGTATATAGACTTTTTGCACTACTTTTTAATTTGTATTTTGTTATATATGTTGCATTGTTGGAGGAGCTCAGGTCAGACGAATTTCATTTCCATTTCTACACTGAAGCTGCTGAGCACATGACTTGACTCTTTGAGTAATGCAGCTGCTTCTTCCGTCAGTCTGCATGCTTTGTACCAGATTACGGGATGTCTCAGTTAGTTCTTGTGCAGGTGGAGGCGGTACCTGCGGAAGTCGAGCAGCGGGCGAGTGGCGGGGGGGATGCCCTGCGCCGGCCAGCTGAGGAAGTGGAACTGAGTGAGGGTCCGGGTCTCCTGCGTCTGGACGTTTTTCAGGTAGAAGCTCCGCACCAGGAAGTCGTTACACCAGATGTGCTCCGACACCAAGTTCACCTGGAGAAACACCATCAGACAAGTAGTGGAGGACAAATACTTCGTTACTGTACTCAAGGTATCTGGTTTCAGTACTTTACTCCACTACTTATTTTCCTGACCACTTTTAACTTTGACTTCTTACATGTTGAACTCAAATACCTGTACTTTCTACTTCTTACATGTTGAACACAAATACCTGTACTTTCTACTTCTTACATGTTGAACTCAAATACCTGTACTTTCTACTTCTTACATGTTGAACTCAAATACCTGTATTTTCTACTTCTTACATGTTGAACACAAATACCTGTACTTTCTACTTCTTACATGTTGAACTCAAATACCTGTACTTTCTACTTCTTACATGTTGAACTCAAATACCTGTACTTTCTACTTCTTACATGTTGAACTCAAATACCTGTACTTTCTACTTCTACATGTTGAACTCAAATACTTGTACTTTCTACTTCTTACATGTTGAACTCAAATACCTGTACTTTCTACTTCTTACATGTTGAACTCAAATACCTGTACTTTCTACTTCTTACATGTTGAACTCAAATACCTGTACTTTCTACTTCTTACATGTTGAACTCAAATACCTGTACTTTCTACTTCTACATGTTGAACTCAAATACCTATACTTTCTACTTCTTACATGTTGAACTCAAATACCTGTACTTTCTACTTCTTACATGTTGAACTCAAATACCTGTACTTTCTACTTCTTACATGTTGAACTCAAATACCTGTACTTTCTACTTCTACATGTTGAACTCAAATACTTGTACTTTCTACTTCTTACATGTTGAACTCAAATACCTGTACTTTCTACTTCTTACATGTTGAACTCAAATACCTGTACTTTCTACTTCTACATGTTGAACTCAAATACTTGTACTTTCTACTTCTTACATGTTGAACTCAAATACCTGTACTTTCTACTTCTACATGTTGAACTCAAATACCTGTACTTTCTACTTCTCACATGTTGAACTCAAATACCTGTACTTTCTACTTCTTACATGTTGAACTCAAATACCTGTACTTTCTACTTCTTACATGTTGAACTCAAATACCTGTACTTTCTACTTCTCACATGTTGAACTCAAATACCTGTACTTTCTACTTCTTACATGTTGAACTCAAATACCTGTACTTTCTACTTCTACATGTTGAACTCAAATACCTGTACTTTCTACTTCTTACATGTTGAACTCAAATACCTGTACTTTCTACTTCTACATGTTGAACTCAAATACCTGTACTTTCTACTTCTTACATGTTGAACTCAAATACCTGTACTTTCTACTTCTTACATGTTGAACACAAATACCTGTACTTTCTACTTCTCACATGTTGAACTCAAATACCTGTACTTTCTACTTCTTACATGTTGAACACAAATACCTGTACTTTCTACTTCTTACATGTTGAACTCAAATACTTGTACTTTCTACTTCTACATGTTGAACTCAAATACCTGTACTTTCTACTTCTTACATGTTGAACTCAAATACCTGTACTTTCTACTTCTACATGTTGAACTCAAATACCTGTACTTTCTACTTCTTACATGTTGAACTCAAATACCTGTACTTTCTACTTCTTACATGTTGAACACAAATACCTGTACTTTCTACTTCTCACATGTTGAACTCAAATACCTGTACTTTCTACTTCTTACATGTTGAACACAAATACCTGTACTTTCTACTTCTTACATGTTGAACCCAAATACCTGTACTTTCTACTTCTTACATGTTGAACTCAAATACCTGTACTTTCTACTTCTTACATGTTGAACTCAAATACCTGTACTTTCTACTTCTTACATGTTGAACTCAAATACCTGTACTTTCTACTTCTTACATGTTGAACTCAAATACCTGTACTTTCTACTTCTTACATGTTGAACTCAAATACTTGTACTTTCTACTTCTCTCATTTTCCAAACAGCTGGTTCCTTTAGTCTGAATGTGTGTTTGATGCGTGATCATTATTCTTTAGAGTCATTGCGTGCCTATTGATTTGAACACGATCCGTGTATCCATCATTTCCTGGTCTTCTCTAAAGAAGAGGGACCAATGGAAACGTTGTCATGTTGCCGTTGTTCAGCATGGAAACATTCATTAGCTAACAATGACATTATTGTTCTATTAATATAAAGGGAGGTCAGGTACTCTTTAAAGCAGCTGCTAGTTATGGGTACTTTTCACTGAAGTACATTTCAAAGTTATTTACTTTCACTTGAGTAAAGAAGTTTAGTCAGTACTTCTACTTTCACCAGAGTATCTTTATCTTTAAATCAGTACTTCTACTTGAGTACAGGATGTGTGTACTTTTGCCATATCTGCCTCACACACTCACCTCGTAGATGTGGTAGAGGGACGAGCCCTCATCAGGCCAGTAGCGGTCACACTGTTTCTCCCCGTCTTCAACCAGAGCGCTCATCATCACGATCACAGTGCAGCCGTTCTCCCACACCATCTAAACACACACACACACACACACACACACACACACACACACACACACACACACACACACACACACACACACACACACACACACACACACACACACACACACACACACACACACAATGTACTTCTCCTGTATACGTCTTTAAATACATCTCCAGTGCATGATGTACATGTTTAAATGTTTCAGTGTATGACAAGTTTAGTGATAAATTATATATATATTAAAGGAACGACTGGAAGGTTGTGGCTCCGATCAAATGCATGACGGTAACCAAAGACACGCCTCAGTTTGGGCTGACACTGAACTAATATGAGGAAAACGTAATAAGTATAATATAATGATACATGAGTGATGGCCTCTCACCTGCCAGAAGTCAGAGATGGTGTGTGACAGCGGGCCCTGGGTGGCGATGTAAGCAGGCATCCGGGGGTCGTGCTCAATCTGAAGGGGGGAGGGTTACAAAGGTCACATGAAATACAACTTTCGTGACGTTTTTTAAGACATACGATGACTTTTGAAAACATTTTTGAAATACGATAAGACGAGAAGATAAGAAGTACTTTGTTGATCCCAATTTGGGAAATGTTTGCATTGTACTGTACATTAGAGAAATGAAAAGACTTGTAATAAACAATACAAAATTAAAATACAAATTAAAATACTACTACGACATTTAGTATTCATACGTACGATGGTGCTGGCGTTGATGTAGTCAGATCGAGAAGGGTTGACCTCCGCCTTCAGCTTCACCCTGGAGTGATCATCTGCAGGAACACAGGCACATTTAACCCTTAAAGGTCCCCTATCACCCTCCTCTTCATCAATATATCACAGGTCTCAGATATACACAGAGCCTGTCTCTGATTGGCTGAAACACCAAACAGATCATTGCAGCATTACCCATAATCCCCTCTGTTTCAGCGCTGTTTCCAAAGTGCTGATTCTCTGTCTGTTACTTTAGATGAAAATAAGGAGCCCCTCCCCACGCCCCTCTGAGAGACATTTGGTTACAAATAACTCAATGGTGCTCTAGGAGGAGATTCAGGTGATAAGGGGGGGGGGGGGGGGGGGGGTACCTTGGTTGCTGATTGGCTAATGGTTACACAAGACAACACATCGTTATGACATCATCAAGTGGCCAAAATCTGATCAGCTCATTTTCAGACAGGTTTTTATAGAAATGGATCAAAAAGAGAGAGAATCTTGATGAAGACGTGGAAAGGTGGATTTGCATGATAGGAGACCTTTCATGTATCTCTGCTCACTCACAGGGGGCAGACTGCGCGCAGCGGTTCTTCTTGGCGTTGGCGTCGCTCTGGGCGATGGAGACGGCGCTGGGCTCGGCGGTGTAGCTGCACAGAGCCTCCCACTCCTTCATCAGACGGTCCTTGTTCCTCAGGTGGTCCTCCATGTAGGCCTGGACACACACACACACACACACACACACACACACACACACACACACACACACACACACACACACACACACACACACACACACACACACACACACACACACACACACACACACACACACACACACACACACACACACACACACACACACACACACACACACACACACACACACACACACACACACACACACACACACACACACACACACACACACACACACACACACACACACACACACACACACACAGTTCACATCCCATAATACTCACCCTGAATAGACCTGTGCATGCCTCAAGAGCTGACCAGTACCATGAGTACTGCAGTATAATGTGTACTGTGGTACCATGAGTACTGGAGTGTGCACTAACCAGTATAATGTGTACTAACCAGTAAAGTGTGCACTAACCAGTATAATGTGTACTAACCAGTATATTGTGTACTAACCAGTATAATGGTCACTAACCAGTATAAAGTGTACCAACCAGTATCATGTGTCCGGTGGAGATGTCCATGTTGGCCTGTGCCGGCTCTTCACACCATGACGCGCTGCCGATGGAGCTCGGACTGGGCTGAGCTCCATCGCTGAACTGGGAGGAGACGCTGCTCACTCTGGAGTCTCCACCTCCACCTGCTGATGCTCCTCCACCTGCAGCTCCTCCTCCACTGGTTCCTCCTCCACTGGTTCCTCCCACTGCTCCCAGTGCGGCGGCCTCCAGGCGTCCGAAGGCTCCTTTGGAGGACATGTGCTGGCGACACAGGTCCTGGTGAGTCAGGTATAGATGCTTCATCACTCTTTATATCTTATCATTATTTTTAAATGCAGAAATTAAATGCCTTTAAGGACTTTTTAAGGACCCGTGTAAACCCTGAGAACACTACATCTCAATGTGTCTCAAAAGGAGCTGTGAGTGTTTCCTGGCGGACATGTTTGTAGTTCTTCCCTCCTTTCTAAAAAGAGCTCTGTTTCTGGCCGTTTCTCAATGTCGAGTAAAGCTGCTCCAGAGCCACTATTGCAACGTCCTCGAGTGGCGCCGAATCACTGTTTAAATGTCCAGCATATATGTGCTACCAAGCAAGCCTCCTCGACAGTGAGACACGGCCTCTGAGTGTTGCAGGCGGACATGTTTGTAGTTCTCCTCACCTGGTACTCCTGGTGCGTGAAGCTGCCCCCCTCCAGGCCCAGCTTCCTGGCTGCCAGGCGGTGGGCGTGATTCCTCAGGCAGGCGATCGTCATGGTCGCCACCAGGATGCTGCCGATGATCGCCATGGCAACCAGCGTGGAGAACACCCAGCCGGAGGAGGGGCGGGGCTTAACCCGGGTCACCAGGGGCAACGCCATTCCATCATCGCTCTGGAAGTACATTAAGTGGAGGATCTTTTAAAACAGGTGGACTAATGTGTATAGACAGTAAGAGGAGGAGGAGGAGGAGGAGGAGGAGGAGGAGGAGGAGGAGGGAGGAGGAGAAGCTCCTCCTCCTCCTCTCTCCCCCCTCTCTCCTGGTGACCCCAAACTATCCTCCCTCCTCGAAGAATTGTCTCTCTTGACCTTTCGGACCTCCTCCTTCCTCTCTGTGGGTCTCAGGAATGTGAGGCGCTGTGTGTGTGTGTGTGTGTGTGTGTGTGTGTGTGTGTGTGTGTGTGTGTGTGTGTGTGTGTGCGTGCGTGTGTGTGTGTGTGCGTGCGTGTGTGTGCGTGCGCGTGCGTGTGTGCGTGCGTGTGTATGTGTTTGGTACCTGCTATTATAAAGGGGCCCCGATGGGGATCAGTGTGTGTGTGTGTGTGTGTGTGTGTGTGTGTGTGTGCGTGTGTGTGTGTCTGTGTGCGTGCGTGCGTGCGTGTGTGTGTGTGTGTGTGTGTGTGGTACCTGCTATTATAAAGGGGCCCCGATGGGGATCAGTGTGTGTGTGTGTGTGTGTGTGTGTGTGTGTGTGTGTGTGTGTGTGTGTGTGTGTGTGTGTGTGTGTGTGCACGTGTGTGTGTCTGTGTGCGTGCGTGCGTGCGTGCGTGTGTGTGTGGTACCTGCTATTATAAAGGGGCCCCGATGGGGATCAGTGTGTGTGTAACAGAGGAAAATGGATGTGGTTCATCGCTTCAACTTTTTAAATAACCTTATATTTGCATAAGTAGAGTTATATCTCTAATTTGTGGAGCCAAAAGACAGATCATTTAACTTGTAAAAGATGAATACACCTCAATATGTCTGTCACAATAACAGATAAGAGCTGCACAAATGATATAAATATCATTATACAAAAGATAATGGTTGATTTTCATATAGAAAATAAAATGCTCAATAATAATGCAATAAAAGCAGAATTAAGCATCAAAATGTCCCTTACACTATCTTTATGAAATAATTAATAAAAAGCGCATTAAATCTCAATTGATGTCACACAAAAATGATTAAGTAGTTTCTTTTAGGATATCAGACTTTTAGAACTGCAAAATAAATCAACTGCTTCTCTAATAACACTTATATAAGTCTTTTTCTAATGTTTTCACTCACCCACACGTCTCCTCCTGACTCCCAGCTGCACTCACATGGACTCAGGAGAGTGAAGTCGGACCGAATGAAAACAAACTGCACTTCCGGGATGGATTTTCAAAATAAAAGTCTATAAAACGTATTTTTCAGTTTAAAAGACGGATATCATGATTTTCTTTAACTTAAAGGTCACCTATCATGCTGTCTTCAGGCAATAGCACAGGTCTCAGATATATACAGATATATAAAAACATGTCTATGAAGTGTTTTGCTCCAAACACCAAACAGATCATTCTAGCCACGCCTCATATCCCTCTGTTTCACTTCCTGTTTCTAAAGAGCTGATTCAGGTATAAAGCTTTAAAGAGGAGGGGTCTGAGCTCATGCGGGACCGGCAGCTACTGTCTAACCCAGGGGTTCCCAACCTTTTTCCCCAAGAGCCCCCCCAAATGACTCCTGTTTGAAGTTGCGCCCCCCCCCCCCCCCCCACACACACACACACACACACACACACACACACACACACACACACACACACACACACCACCCACACACACACACACACACACACACACACACACACACACACACGGGGGGGGCGCAACAGCGGTAATTAAAGTGTAATAGTCTCAAAAAGCTACAACTACCGTCACAAACTGGATGAATGTGAAGTATTTTGTTAAAGGAGGATGAACGCGTAATCAAGGAGCACTATTGGAGCGACTTTGATGGTTATTGGACTCAGCATTAATTCATTTGGATTCCCGCTGTATGAAGAAATGAAAGGACGGCGCAAGTGGAAACAATTCACAAAGGGATTAAACTGTTTAAAACACATGCTCAAAGTAAGCCGGATTTTGCCGATGTGTTTACGTGGATTCAAAAGCCGTAAATAATCAAAATGGAGGAGACCGATCTGATCGGAGCAACT